ACCCCCCACACCTCTGGCCTTACCCCAGTACTTGTATGTATAAATAGATAAATCTTTAAAAAAAAAAAATCTGTCCTTTCTCACTGTGTTTTCCAAGGGATTCTGAGATGCATCCATATTTGCAAATCTACACCAGAATGAGTCAGAATCTATGCCTAGTCCTTCCTTACCCTTCAGTATATGACACATATGCCCAATAATGTTAATTTACTCATGCAACAGACATTTATATACTGCCTTCTATATGCTGGGCACTGAGGGAAAAGAAGGAAAGAGGAAAGGAGGCAAAGAGGGAAGGAGGAGGGAGGCAGGAGGGAAAAGGGAGAGAAGAAGAAATCTCCTCCTTTGCGGAGTTTATTTTCTGGGGGAGAAGCAGACAATATATACATAAACAACTAAGTACATGGTATAGAGCAACTAGTATAGATGTTAAAGAGAAATATAAAGTAGAGAAAATGGGGGAAATGCCATTTGGATAGTATGCTGAGGGGAGTGTGCTTTGCAACCGAAGTCAGGTGAGAAAGGCCTGCCTGCAGAGAGGCCAGTTTGAAGTGAAGTAGTAGGTTAGAGTAACTGGTAGGGAACAGAATTCCTAGCAGAAGGATCAGCGGGTCTTGAATAAGGAATAGTGATTCTACAAGGATGGTTTAACATCAGAAAATCAATCAACGTTATCCAACACATCAACAAAAAGAAATATAAAAACCATATGATAATATCAATAGATGCTGAGAAAGCTTTCGACAAAGTGCAACACCCATTCATGATAAAAGCCCTTGAAATTCTTGGGATACAAGGAACATACCTCAACATCATAAAGGCCATCTATGACAAGCCAACAGCCAGTATCATTCTCAATGGTGAAAAGCTGAAAGCAATTCCATTAAGATCTGGAACAAGACAAGGATGTCCACTCTCACCACTGCTTTTCAATATAATACTGGAAGTCCTAGCCAGAGCAATAAAACAAGAGAAAGACATACAAGGAATCCAGATAGGAAAAGAAGAAGTCAAACTATCACTATTTGCAGATGATATGACAATATACATAGAGAACCCCAAAAACTCCACAGAAAAACTAATTCAACTCATCAATCAGTTCAGTAAAGTGGCAGGATACAAAATCAACACACAAAAGTCAGTAGCCTTCCTATACACAAACAATAAATCTGAAGAAGAAATCAAAAAAACCATCCCTTTTTTTATTGAAACCAAAAAAATCAAATATTTGGGAATAAATCTAACAAAAGAGGTAAAGGACCTATACAAAGAAAACTATAAAACACTGTTAAAAGAAATAGAAGAAGACACAAAGAAATGGAAAGACATCCCCTGCTCATGGATTGGAAGAATAAACATTATTAAAATGGCCATCCTTCCAAAAGCAATATACAGATTCAATGCTATTCCAATAAAAATTTCAATGTCATTCTTCAAAGAAATAGAACAATTATTGATGAAATTCATATGGAATCACAAAAAAACCCGAATAGCCAAAGCTCTCCTGAAAAAAAAAGAAGGGAATGGAGGCATCACACTCCCAGACTTCAAACTATACTACAAAGCCATAATCATCAAAACTGCATGGTATTGGAACAAGAACAGACATACAGACCAATGGAATCGAATAGAAAATCCAGAAATAAACCCACAGATTTATGGTCAACTAATCTTTGACAAAGGAGCAAAGACTATGCATTGGAGCAAAGAAAGTTTGTTCAATAAATGGTGCTGGGAAAACTGGGTCGCTACATGCAAAAGAATGAAGCTTGACCACTACCTCACACCATACACAAAAATCAACTCAAAATGGATTAAAGAACAAGACATAAGACCTGAAACCATAAAATATATAGAAGGAAATATAGGCGAAACACTACGTGATTTGCACATCAAAGACATCTTTACAGACACATCACCCAAAGCAGTGATAGTGAAGGCAAAGATAAACAGCTGGGACTACATCAAATTAAAGAGCTTCTACACAGCAAAAGAGACAATAACAAAAACAAAGAAAAACCCCACCAACTGGGAGAACATTTTTGCACCCAACACTAATGATAAAGGACTGATCACAAAAATCTGCAAAGAGCTGATGAGACTCAACAACAACAAAGAAAATAATCCAGGGCCTCCCCGGTGGCGCAGCGGTTGAGCGCTGGGTTGCGAAGCTGCCCGCGGCCTCTGCAGCGCCGGTTCAATCCCCGGCTGCTCCCCGGCCACCGGAGGAGGGTCCCACATGGTGCGCAGACCTCTCCTGCCGCCCGCTGCTCCCCTCAGCAGTGTACTTCGGTCCTTCTGCCTACTCTGCTCCCCGCTCTGGCTCTGGTGAATTCTCTCACCCTCCTGCGCTTCTGACTGTACCCAGTGCATGTATAAAACAAAACAAACAAACAAGCAAACAAATAAATAAAGAAAAACATGCCTCTATAAAAAAAAAAAGAAAATAATCCAGTCAAAAAATGGGCAGAAGAGCTAAAAAGAAATTTCTCTGAAGAGGAAATGCAAATGGCCAACAGGCATATGAAAAAATGTTCAACATCACTTGTCATCAGGGAAATGCAAATCAAAACTACCATGAGATACCATCTTACAAATGGCACATATTAAAAAAACTAGCAACAACAAATGTTGGCGAGGGTGTGGAGAAAAAGGAACTCTCCTGCACTGTTGGTGGGAGTGCAAACTAGTCCAACCACTGTGGAGAGCTGTGTGGAGATTTCTGGACCTACTAAACATAGAGCTTCCATATGATCCAGCAATTCCACTCCTAGGTATTTACCCAAAGGACACAGAAACATCAATTCCAAAGAGCACCTGCACCCCTATGTTTATAGCAGCACTGTTTACAATAGCTAAGCTTTGGAAACAACCCAAATGCCCAAAAATAGATGACTGGATCAAGAAGATGTGGTACATATATACCATGGAATATTACTCAGCATTCAAAAAAGATAAACACATGCAATTTGCAGCAACATGGATGGCGCTGGAAGGGATCATGCTCAGCGAAATAAGCCAAAAAGAAAAAGAAAAATACCGGATGGTCTCACTCATAGCAGGAATCTAGAAAACTTAAATAAGGGACCAGGAAAATGAATAACTATAAGAAAGTGAAAATCAAAATCAACAAAAAACTATGAACCAGAGACACTTTTAGGGGGGCGGGGGCGGGAGGGGAGAGATTGGGATCAGAATGGGGGGGCTGCAATTGTATGGGGAATATAAAAATAAAATTTATTATTTAAAAAAAAAAAGGAATAGTGATTCTATCTGTTGGATGGTGGGGCGTGATGAATGGGAAGAACCATCAGGGGATCAGACAGGTAAAGACCAGATCACAGAGGGTCTATAAGCTACTGTAATGACTTTGGTTTTACTCTGAATAAAAGACAGGGTTTTACAGCAAAGGAAGTATCAGTCAGCCCTTATCTTACTAAACTTATTAGCACTATGTGATATACTTTACAAACTTTCTATCTGATCTCATTCAACCGGGTGGCTTAAATACCCACTCAGATTTATATCTCTAATTCAACCCTGCCTCTGAATTTCAGAATGACATACCAATGAATATCTAGTTTATGTTTAAGTAGAATCACTGAAGCTGCTAAAGCAGGGACACCAGTAATAAAGAAGTTATTACTATAATCCATGTAGATGAGGGTGACAGCAGCAGACTGTGTTAAAGGTTGAATTCAAGCCATTATTTGAAGATAAATATGATAAGGTTTGGTGATAGGTTTAGATCAAGTGTGATACAAAAATTTAGATCGAAGCAACCAAAGGTGAAAAAGCTATCTATGACAAGTGAAGGTCTGCAGTAATTTGGGGAGATAGAAGATCCAAGAGAGCTAGTACTACAGATTGAATTATGACCCCCCAAAATTCATGTTGAAGCCTGAAACGCCAATGTAGTGTTATCTGAAGATGGGGCTTTTGGGAAATAATTACATTTAGGTGAGTCCTGAAGGTAATCTTTACGACAGGATTAGTGCCCTCATTACAAGAATCCCTTGATGATTCCCCCCACCTCCCATTCCCACTCTCTCCCTCCATCTCCCTCCATGTGAGGATATAGCAGGAAGGCACCTGTCTGACAGGCAGGAAGAGGGCTCTCACCAGAACCCAACCATGCTGGCACCTCTAGTCTCCAGATCTGTGAAAAACATTTGTTGCTCAAGCTACCCAGGCTGTGGTATTCTGTTATAGCAACCTAATTAGACTGAGACAGGTAGTACTGCAGAAAGTGGTTCAAGGAGGAAAGAATCAACCATGTCAATGACACAGATGGTTGAGTCAAATAATAATTGTGAGTTAAAGAGTATATTGAACACCTGGGATGGTTTTGGTGAAGGTGACTGAGTTACCATAGCAAAGTAGTAGCAAACTGGAACAAGTTTAAGACTAGAGAGAAGGGAACTGAACCAATGAGAAAAGAATATTTTTAATAAATGCAGGAAAACACCTCTGCATATGACAAGAGCTGGCTTAATTAATAAGCATGAAAATCATGATTACAGTGACCTCAGACTTGTATGGGGACCTCTCAGCATCTCTGACTTCTTTTCAAAATTTGGATATAAATATAAAATCTAAGTGACACAAATCAGTAAGTATTTAGTGGTCACACAATAAAACCACTATTTCCTACTAAAGGCAAATTCAAAAGAGTGTAAGAGTGTGAACTGCACTGTAGAATTTTAAGAGTATGAAAACCAGAAAGAGTTCTACCCACAGTCATCTGGAATTATGGCCACAAATTTGAGAGTCTTTTTCTATAAGGGAATCTGTAGAAACAACTAAATTTTGGTACAAGATTAACTTTCAAGTATCCTAGGATATAAAAATATTCTCTCTCTCTCTCTCTCACACACACACACACAGAAACTAGAAAGAAATCTATAGTTACCATCGAAAACTATGCTAGTCTGTACTGACAAATCAAAAATTACATGTGTTTAATGGTGATTGTCGTTATAAAGGCATCTATATAATACCTCTTTTCTATAATCATCCCAATTCAGTTCTCTGCCCATCAACTCAACAATTCTCGGCAGGGCTTCCTCTGCTGCCTGGACATTCAAGAAGGCCAGACGAGTGCGTCGTGAAATCATATCCACTGCTGTGCAGGCATACTCCTTAATCCCATATTTCACCTGTGTTTGAATTAAAGTAAAATTAATAGTTTAGACCTTTTATGAAACAGGAAATAAAGTTTCACTTAAAAGAATTAATGCTTAGGAAAAGTGACATTTTTCCTTAGACTCTGTTTCTTCAGTAGGTATGAGACAAATAGTGACATCATATTAAGTTCCCCATCTGCCTGCCAAGCGTGTCTGGAAAATGGACAAGTTCCTGAATGGAACCTGGCACAAACATGCTAAGTGCATCTCTTCTCATTTACCATCCACATTAATTATTTACCTCTTTATTTATACTTAATATGGATGTTGATTTGCATAGCTAAGTAGGCAAAAAGTAAGTGTTTCAAAGTTAGTCTCATCTCTAGACCAACGTTTTCTGCCTCAGAGTAACTAGATGATAGAACACCTGTATCTTAGAAATCTTGTATCCAATCAACAAGCAAATGTTACTGAACACCTAGTTTTTAAGGCACAGTGAATCACAAATAAATATAAAGTATGGTCTCCATTTTCAGAAAATATGAAAGTTTGATGAGAAACAAAGCTGAAATTTTTGAGAAGTTATTGTCAAATCAAGATATGTCATTACGGAGCATATGAGTAGTACAAACTTGAAGAGCTTCAAGATCACAAAAGAGGCAAAATGCTATCCATTAATAAAATGGGATAAAGCTGTAGAGGAGAAGGAAATCCATATTTTCTATTATTATCATCACTACCACTATCACATCAGAATTAAAATGAAAATGTGTAAAAGAAGGGATTTGTGCTGGGCAACTTTTTTGCTCCAGGTTTTAGCTGACATAATATGCACTAAAACTTACATATATATGACTTTAAAAAAAAAGATGAGAAATAGGTATTCCAAAGCTGAAAGGAAACTGCCACATGGCTATTCACTTACCTCTGCTTCAATGTATGGAAATTCTGACACAAGACGCACTCCAACAATGGGCCATCTCTTTCCCGTCACACTTGCCATTTTGGCCACCTCAAAGGCTTTGTCACCGTAGGTGGCAGCAAGATGCTGTGCCACCTAGGGAAACAAAATTGCATTAGTCAGGAACTTTGAATAGCAACAGCTTCTAGGTACAAAGCAAAAAATCTATGTGCTTATCTTATCAGTTTTTAGAGTCTGTAACTAATAGTTCTAGGAGAGGATTAGATTTTGATTTTCTGGGAGGAAACCACTTGCGCTCTGAATGCTTAGGCCAGCACTAACTCTACTACACATGGATCACTGTATCAGTGACTGATGAAGCTTCAGCTTCACTCTGCTCTCAATATCACTTCTGAAGAACAGCTTTCCTTATGCTTGAGACAGAAAGAACTTGGGATGCCCAGTCTTTTAGGAATAAACCAAACAAACTCCAGATTTGAAAATAAAATTTAAATGTGCATTGCTTTTTAGGCAACTAAAGCAAAGCAAGATCATCTTTTCTTGTTTCTCTTAGTCCACTTCTACAATATGAAGACAGTAATAAAACTAGCAAAAAGAAACTCTCAAGTCAGGGAGACCATAAGACAGCTGTTCTATTACTAGCTAAGGTAGAAAATAATACGATGTTACAATGCACACCCACCTCACTTTCAAGTCCATAATCCTGGACAAGCCTAATGTAGAGTGTGGGGCTCCAATCTTTACCCCCTTGCAGGAAAAGCCCAACGGTTCTACTTGGGCCTGCTTTCAAATTATGAGTCTTGATAGCAGCATTTATGGTATCTTCTGCCATAGATCGATAAGTTGTCCACTTTCCACCTACAAAAAGTAGGTAGTAAAGATAAGTAATTCATTCATTATTTTCCTTATAATTTACCTCTTAACCTAATGATGATAAAACTAACCTCTTATTTATTAAAAAAAAAAATGGCAAAGTAATACATAAGGCTTTCTCAGAATCACACAAGCATAAAAATCTCTGTTCATTTAGGATTCAGAGAGCACCCAGGTGACAATTTTAAGTCAAGCACCTGTTGAAAGTGCACCCAAACACCAGCACAATAGCCACACCTGCTATAGTGATGAGGCCACTGTCACTGACATCCACAACATGATTTCGGGAGATGGACTGAGTATCTGCAGACTTAGGATCTGTGACAAGGGGACGGATACCACTCCACGCAGCCAGGACGTCCCCTCTTCTCACTAGAAGGAGCAAGGCAAAGGTTGAGAGGGTTACTCAACAAAATTATGAAACAGTCACTAAGCAGAAAAGAGTTCAGTAAAACCAAGATATGAATATGCTTTAAAGGGGGAGAAAAAACTTGGAAGAAGTGAGTGGATACTTACAAGAACTCAGAACCTGTATTATAGAGATAATTTCCGTTTTAAAAAGCAAAGAACCTGAAAATCAGGCACTGGCAACAAAAAGGAAATAAAAGAAAAATATTAGCAACCCTCAACTGGGGCAATCTGGATTAGTTAAAAAGAACAACAAAGCAGAAACAAAACAAAAACTAATAAATGCATAACATATTAAATTCCCTCCTAGAATACATTCTGCTATTGCAGGGAAGGCAAAGATCCTTTTTAGACAAACGAGGCTGATAACAGATATTTTCTCCCCTCATCAATTTCAGCCCCTTGCTGAGAATTTATAGCAAGTCTACCTTCTCAAAGCACTTGACATACATGTTTCCTTTAATTTAATCTCACAAAGTCACAAAGCATTGATTATTATTATTCTCACAGTACAGAGAAGAGAGCAGATTGGGAATGTTTAACCAACTTGCCCAAAGCAAACATCTTATAAATAGTAAAGCTATGTCAAAACTCATTCTTTCTGACTTCAAAGTCTGTAATTTTTACCCTAAATTGTACTGTCTCTCAACTGTGGGTAATACCTTTTTTGTTTCTCATCCCATTATAATTATCACTGTCACAAGAACAGGTATACTAGCTTCTTCTGGCAGGTACACAATACTTATTTTACAGCATGTAGAAATTCTTTGAATATTCAATATATCATGAAATTTTCTTATTAACTCTGCCAAAATACAATTTCCTTCCGTAGTAAAAAATTGGTAAAGTTTACAACAGCATTAGATAGCTGTTGCCTAGTGCTTATTATGTTCCAAAAAATGTCTGAGAAGTTGTGGTTCTGGTCTACCATCAGATTGAAGGGCAAGACCTAAAGGCAGAGATTTCAAAATGTACTCTTCTTTATCTAGATCAGCATCAGGAACAGCTTAGCTCGTTTCCTTTCCACTTTCCACATAAAGGAGCTAACCATGAGTGGCAATCCTAACAGTGTAGACTATCGGAAGGTGAATGCTTACATAGTCCAGCAGCACTTACTTTGGTAAGTCAGTAAATTCATTCCTGGAGAATAGAGAAGTGAAATTTTGCTTACTGTCTTCACCATCTAACTTCCAGACTTTACTCATATTGATAAAAACTTGATTACATACAATCTTGAATATACAATACAATGGGAAAACTGGATAGCCACATGCAAAAGGATGAATTTGGACCCTTACCTTACATGGTGTATAAATATTAACTCAAAATGGATTAAAGATCTATATATAAGAACTATAACTATAAAACCTTTAGAAGGGGGCCTCCCTGGTGGCACAGGGGTTAAAGACAGCACTATCAAGCTACTGCCAGTCACTGCAGCATGGGTTTGATCCCTGGCCAGGGAGGTGACCCACATGGTGCAGCAGACCTCTTCTGTCTTGCCCACTGCTCCCCTCAGCAGTGTATTTCAGTCAAGTCTGCCTGTTCTGCTCTCTTCTCTGCCTCTGGTGAATCCTCTCACCCTCCGCAATGTACCCTACCTCTTGTATGCATAAATAAGTAAATCTTAAAAAAAAACAAACAAACAAAAAAAAAAAAACCTTTAGAAGAAAATATAAGAAGAAAGAGTCATGACATTGGATTTAGCAATGATTTCTTGCTTGTGACACCAAATGCAAAAAAATAAGTAAAATGTACCTCATCAAAATTAAAAACTTATATACAGAAAGGGACATAGTCAACAGAATGAAAAAGTAGACTACACAAAGAGAAAATATTTGCAAAATCATATAAAGGATTCACATACAGAATATGTAAGAACTCCTAAAACTCAATAACCAAAAAAATATAAATCTGATTGAAAAAGTAGATCAAAGATGTGAACAGATGTTTCCTCCAAAGAAGATATACCAATGGCTAATGAGCACATAAAAAGAAGCTCAATATCACTAATTATTGGAGAAATTAATATGAAAACTACAATGATATAAGTTCACTGCCAATAAATATATTGGCTACTATAAAAATTGGGGGGAAAAAGGTATTGGCAAAGACGTAAAGAAATTGGAAGCCCTGGGCATTTTTGAAGGGAAGATTAAGAAAGATGTAGTTGTTGTGGCAGTTCCTCAACACAGAATTACCATATCATCCAGAAACTCTACTTCTGGGTAAATACACAAAAGAACTGAAAGCAGGATACATTTGTACACTTTCAACCCCTTCCCCCACGTTGACGGTGACATTATTCACAACAGACAAAAGGTAGAAGCAACCCAAGTGTCCATCAACAGATAAATGAGAAAAACAAATGTATGCATACATACAATGGAATAATATTCAGCCTTCAAAAGTAAAGAAATTCTGATACATGCTACATACAACATGCTACAAATTTATCGTTTGAAGATATTATATTAATGGAGATAAAACAGTTCTCAAAGAAGACACATTGAATGATTCCACTTATATGAATTACACAGAGCTCTCAATTCAAAGACAGAAAATAGAATGGTGGTTTCCAGGGGTTGGGGGAAGGAGAAAATGGAGAATTTGTGTTTATTTTCTTTTTAAAAATTTATTTATTTATGCATACAAGAGCTGGGGTACAGGCCAGAGATGCGGGGGGTGAGAGGATTCACCAGAGACAGAGTGGGGAGCAAAACAGGCAGACTGACTGAAATACACTGCTGAGGGGAGCAGCAGGCGAGACAGGAGAGGTCTGCTGTGCCATGTGGGTAGCTCCCTGGCTGGCTGGGGATTGAACTTGTGCTGCAGTGGATGGCGATAGCTTGACAGCGTGGTCTTTAACCCCTGCACCACCAGGGAGGCCCTCATTTCTTAACTTTACATATATTATAGTAGATCTTCATTCATGCTTGCCTTATATGCACATTCACCTACTGACTACAATTTATTGCAAACCCACCATTAGTACTTCTGCTGCTTTTATTTATTTATTAAGATTTATTTATTTTTGTATACAAGAAGTGGGGAACAGGCCAGAGGTGGGGTGGTGGGATGGTGAGAGGATTCAACACAGACACAGTGGGGAACAGAACAGGCAGACTGACTGAAATACACTGCTGAGGGGAACAGCAGGCGAGACAGGAGAGGTCTGTGCCCTGTGGGTCACCTCCCTGGCCAGGGATCGAACTAGTACTGTGGTGGCTGCGCACAGCTTTATAGGTTGCGTCTTTACCCTTTGCACCACCAGGAAGGCCCATTTCAGGGATCTTTAATCAAACCCATATTTGAACACTGTAACAGAAGAAGAAGAAACATAACAAACTGCTAGGGAAAGCCTGAGGCTCCCAGACTGGGTAACTGGAGACCAAAGGGAGTCTCCATGCCGAAATTCTACTCCTACATCTGCCCTCTGGGGGCTGCATTCTCTTAAACAGGTTTAACCTTGATGGTATCCATGGAATACGGGTTAATTCTTGCTTCACACAATTCCACAAAAGTCCTGTAAACCTCAACACAAATCGTGCAATGTTTGAATTTTTATAAAAAGCTTAACTAGGAAATGACCACTATTTTCCATTAGAGTCAAAATAAAATCACCCTCAGAGTCAAAAATAAAACTCAGTCAACCACTTAGAACGTCACTGTGGTCACCACAAAGACTGCAGAGTGTGCCTGAGAAATTCCTCAGGTAGCCACACTGATCAGGAATTTGGTTTCAAGTCTTAAAGCCTCTGACTGCTTTTAAAATTATTTGATGGAAAATTAAGACTTTTTCAGAGTAAAAAGCATTTTTTACTCTGTAAAAGTATTTTTCAGAACATTTGAAGCATAAGAAATAATCTTTGTGGCAAATGCTTTCCCCTTTTCTGGTATAACAGACAGAAAATTACATCTACGAAACTGTGTTGTCTAAACCAAAGACTGAACTGAAATGAGTTTTTCATTCATAGATGAACATTAAATAAAAAACATTCTGTATACTGATACCATTTTTAATCCTTACGTTTGAAATTGATACTCAGGAAAAAGAAAATACTACCAAGAAAGATTCACAGTATGTTAGGAAATTTAATTTATTTTGTTTAATATCTTAGCATTCAGTTTCTTAGCCAGAGAATTATATCAGATGCATGTTGAGGTTAAACTTAAAAAATTATTTAAGAATAATCAACTTTAAAATCATATTTAAAATGTGAATCTGTCTTTATGGTTTTTAGGGCATACATTATCAGATCAGAGGGTAGCTGAATAGGGTTATCTATCAGTTTTCTCTCACCATTGTCATTTAATGATTTGTATACATTATTCAAAAAGCTATTTTTTTGCTAAGGAATAAAGAATTTGAATGTCTCCACCACCCATAGGGATAAGGCCATAGAGACAACCTATGTCTGTGGAGCACAGCATAACTAAACTAAACACACAAAACCTAACTTCTAAACTATTGCATAAAAGACAGCAACTAACTGAATGAAAGATTTCTCTCCTTATCACCTGTTCATCTGTAGTATAAACCTGGTAAACAGCTAAACCCTAATTAAAGTACTCTGAAGAAAGAGATTCAAAAGCAGAGTATAGTATTCAAAAGTAGAGAGAGAATATAGAGAATCATTAAGATATCTTTTAATTCTGCTTGGAAATGGTGCAGCTGGAATGTAACCATGGGGGAAACAATCCTTGGAATAAAGCCAACTTTAAGGTGGTCGAGTGAAGAAAAGCAAAGGCCCTGCATCTTAGGCATTGCTGAACCACTAAGTGAATCACCTCTTGAGCCTTCTCATGTCTGTGGCTCTCTGTTTACAAGATAACATATATCCTTATTTTCCATAACAAAAAATGCAAATTCAATGACAGTTAAATCAAGTATTTTATATATACCTTTAGATTTTTTATATATACCCTGGATTTGTCTCTAGTGATGGAAATGTTCTATATCT